CGTGGCCTGCTACCGGTGGTTGGGGATCCCTGTGCTAACTTCTGATTTCTCTTTTGCTGCTGCTGGCCAACACGGCTACTGGCTAGATTACGGTACCTTGTGCGAAACAAGCAGGTGTACACATTTGGCTAATTTACAGAAAACAATCAGGAATTATGGCATCCCTTTTATAGATCGCACAGTTTATTGCAGCCTGCGTTTATGTAACAGTAGAGCAGAGCTGATGTATGTACACAAAACACAGATACAGAGAAAATGCTGAATGGTGAGGCCCAAAGTAGTGATACACATCGGGACATTGAACTCAGTCTTCAAATGCATTCAAGATGAGCGTAGTGATGGGTGATGACAGTCTTCTTAGCTTTGCTGGTGCACTTTGGCCATTTCACATTCTTGATTTACAAGGTAAAGGTAAAGGTAAAGGTTCCCTTTGACAATTTTTGTCCAGTCGTGTTCGACTCTAGGGGGCGGTGCTCATCTCCATTTCCAAGCCATAGAGCCAGCGTTTTGTTCAAAGACAATCTTCCGTGGTTACATGGCCAGTGCGACTTAGACACGGAACGCTGTTACCTTCCCACCGAGGTGGTCCCTATTTATCTACTTGCATTTGCATGCTTTCGAACCGCTAGGTTGGCAGGAGCTGGGACAAGCGACGGGCGCTCACTCCGTCGTGTGGATTCGACTCATGCTTCCCACCGGAAGAAGTGTTGAGTTGACATTTCTCTTAATATTCCATTGGCTTAGAAAAATGTGACTATATGAACCTATGACATCACCTTAAACTGGAGATCTGTCTCCATGACACCCATGCATGCGGGTGGGCAGGCCGTCCGTGTGGATGGGTGTGCAGGGGGGGAGTGCGTGCAGGGGGGCGGGAAATCTGTTTCCGTGGCCTGGTACCAGGGGTTGGGGACCCCTGTGCTACAGGACTTCTGATTTTTCTTTTGCTGCTGCTGGCCAACATGGCTACTGGCTAGATTACGGTACCTTGTGCGAAACAAGCAGGTGTACACATTTGGCTAATTTATAGAAAACAATCAGGAATTATGGCATCCCTTTTATAGATCGCACAGTTTATTGCAGCCTGCGTTTATGTAACAGTAGAGCAGAGCTGATGTATGTACACAAAACACAGATACAGAGAAAATGCTGAATGGTGAGGCCCAAAGTAGTGATACACATCGGGACATTGAACTCAGTCTTCAAATGCATTCAAGATGAGCGTAGTGATGGGTGATGACAGTCTTCTTAGCTTTGCTGGTGCACTTTGGCCATTTCACATTCTTGATTTACAAGGTAAAGGTAAAGGTAAAGGTTCCCTTTGACAATTTTTGTCCAGTCGTGTTCGACTCTAGGGGGCGGTGCTCATCTCCATTTCCAAGCCATAGAGCCAGCGTTTTGTTCAAAGACAATCTTCCGTGGTTACATGGCCAGTGCGACTTAGACACGGAACGCTGTTACCTTCCCACCGAGGTGGTCCCTATTTATCTACTTGCATTTGCATGCTTTCGAACCGCTAGGTTGGCAGGAGCTGGGACAAGCGACGGGCGCTCACTCCGTCGTGTGGATTCGATCTTACTACTGCTGGTCTTCTGACCCTGCAGCACAGGCTTCTGCGGTTTAGCCCACAGCGCCACCACGTCCCTTTACAAGGACCTCCTCCTAAATGGTAATCATCTTGCTCCACTTACTTAAATATGGGGAAAGCGAGCCTGCTTGTATTTGTAGAGAGGGGTCCTCTGGTTCTCTTCAGTGGGCCCCCTACACTCCTGCTTCGAAAGGCCACTGCGGTGCTGTGGTTCACCAAGGCTGGGCTCCTTCTAATGCTACATGCATTGTTCAACTGTGCACCTTCATGTGTGTGATAACAAACTAAGCTCTAGCCCATAAAATCTGTGCTGTGATCCATCTGATAGTCTCTGCAATGTCTTAGAAGCCTTTTCCGAGTTAGGCACCTGGGCTCCTAGAATTCGAGGTGTCAAAATCAAGTCGTTTGCACTTGCCAAGCCGTTGCTCGGGGGGGGGAGGGGATCAGCCGGGACTTCCTCCCCGATTTGGGCAACAGCATGCTTTTTCTTTGGGGCATCCTTCCCTCCAGTGATTTCCTGACTTTATCTTCAGCTCGTTCATTTGCTTTGAACTACCTTGAGCATCAAAGCGTTCTTCCCTGATTTAGTCCACAGGCTGTCTTTTTCTCTGCCCGTGGTGTTGCGAGAAAGGGCAGCTCTTAATGCCTTTCTAACCGCCTGACCCTGTTCCGTCTCCCTGCAGGAGGAACAAAAACGGGCAGCTTGCTGAAAGGGCTCTGTTCTCTACAGCACATGTTATTCTGCATCTCATTTGCAGATATAAAAGGCAGGTCTCAGAGGAGGTTCAACCTGCTAAAATTCCACATGGTTGCTTTTCTGAGCACAGTTCCATGTGTTTGAAAGCACTGGAGGAGGCCTTGACGCCTGCCTGCCCGAACGTTTAAGAACATCTAGAGAGACACTCAACTGAGAACCGCCTCCTGACTTTTGAATTTGGAAGCACCGCTTGCAAATCTTACATTTTTGGACCACAGGTCCCACAGCCTCCCAGCCACTGTGGCTACTGTTGGAAGTTTTTTCCAAGCTCTAGCTAGGAATCACCAAATGATACAGTGGTGCCCTGCATAGCGACGTTAATCTGTTCCAGGAAAAACATCGCTATCCGTAAACGTCGCTATGCGGGGGGGGGGGGAACCGCATAGGAACGCATTAAACTCCGTTTAATGCGTTCCTATGGGGACAAAACTCACCGCTAAGCAGGAATCCTCAATCCGGCCGGCATTTTTGCCGCCGCGGTAAGCGAGGAATCGGCGCGAAAACGCTGCGGGCGGCCATTTTCTTTTTCCAGCGGCCATTTTGGAACCGCCGATCAGCTGTTCCAAAACATTGCAATGCGAAGATCGGTAAGCGAAACGCTTACCAATCATCGCAATGCAATGTTTACTCTATTCAGAACATCGCAATGTGATCGGTTTTTCAATTGCAAAAAACGCGTCGCTATGCAGATTTGTTGTTAAATGGTGCGCTCGTTAAGCGAGGCACCACTGTATATCCTTCTGGTGCCCATACAAAGCCCTTGATCTTTGTTTTTCCCATCTTAGTGGGTTGATTTTCTAGTTCTTGTATTTGTTTTTTTTTTCCAACAGACCTTTGTGAGAGTCAGAAGTACTGGGCCAGAGTACTTTTCTTTTTTTAAAAAAGCTCTTTTCTCCCCTGTTGCCCATGGCTTTGTGTTACAGGCCTGTAGCCAGAAATTTGGTGGGTAAGGGTTCTCAGGGTATATGGGATAGAAGTGAATGCACAATAGCCAGGTAGCTGTGAAGGTTCGAAAGGGACCTCTTTCTGATTGAACATAGACACAGGATGATCAGTCTTTGTAAACTTGAAGCTGGGATTTATTGGAACATTAAATGCAGGTTCTGTAACTTTGAAATTATCAACAACTTTATCTCTCGCCGCCAACGGGTCCCATGAGGGCATCCATACATCTTGTAAGAACGGGTTATAAACTGACTCATTCCACGGACCTTTATTAAAAGGGTTAGTGTCCTCTAAGTCCGGAGAGTCCAAACCGGTATCAATCAAGGGAAGGGGCTAAACAAAGCATTGTCTTTGTCTCCCTCTAATGGCCAGTTCTGATAACTACATAATACAAATACATATGTCTGGGTTTTTCCTTTTAGTATCTTTAATATTTTCAGACCACAGAGAAGTGAAAACCATGGTCACTGATCGTGCAAATGCAAGGAGCCTACTGTGTGTATATCTATATATCTATATCTATATATGTCTGTCTGTCTGTCTGTCTGTCTGTCTG